AGTTTGTCTAGTGGGGAGGGCGGGTGGGTGGGTGGGGGTTTTCTATCTACACACACACACACACATGACGTTTTTCGTGGCGGCATGACCCGGCGACACCGTTTGTTTCTCGTAGGGGAGGGTTCACTCACTCATCCACCTGCTGGTGAATGGTGTGCAGGAGGGGTAGGTTGATACGTACGATGAATGAATGAATGAATGAATGGGTGTGGCTGGTGGAAGGGCTGATCAGCCCTCGGGTGGCTGCATGATGGGACTGCGGTGGTTGAATCAGGCAGGGGCTTCATTTCGTCTCTATCGCTGACGCTCACTCACTCACTCACTCCCTCCCTGGCTGTCTGTCTGTCTGTCTGTCTGTATACACACGAGTTTCGATGGACGGGTGCCTCCCTCCCTCCCTCACTCCCTGGCTGTCTGTCTGTCTGTCTGTATACACACGAGTTTCGATGGACGGGTGCCTCCCTCCCTCCCTCCCCGGCTGCCTGCCTGCCTGCCTGGTGGGTGGGGTGGGGTGGCTGTGGTGCCCACGCCTCACGTATTTTTCCGTCAGTTGGTATGTGTCACGTCACAATGAATGCATGAGTGAGTGAGTGAGTGAGTGAGTGGAGCTGTCTGGTGTCTGGCTGTCTCACTCGCTCTTCTCCTCATTACCCTGGCTGGCTTGCGTCAGACAGGAGAGAGAAACGCAGGCGAGGCGAGGCGAGGTAGGTGGTGTGTCGTGACAGGTAGGTGTATGCGCAATCCCACCACCGTTGGATGCATTGCTGTCCGGGTGTTCGTCCTCTCACGTTGCCACCATATCCGCAGAGTTCTGCTGGTGTCTTCACTGGCAGAGGTCTTGGGGTGCGGCGGCAGCGACGAAAAACGACACTCCGAGCGGAATGTGCCGGCGTGCGATGTCCATCCATCCACCTGTCCAATTTTCCTATATATTCATGTGTAGCTAGTGTCGGTGCATGTGAGTGACCTGTGGACCCTTCCGTACACATTTGTTGAATGCATACACTCTCACACATGCTATGCTTCAAATCCCACACACGCAGCTGCCACGTCCTTCACCTGAGATCAGTGAGCCCTTTCATCACTGCAAATGCACGTCTAATGGAGCCATCTCGCCAAGATCAGATCTGCGCATGCGAGTGCTATGCCTACGCACGCCGCGACACCTGCGAGCTTAGATGGGAATGCGAGCTAACAAAAAGGCAAAGGACGATATTTCACGGTTCCTGGGTCCGTCCTTGCTTTGCTTCGCTTCGGTCGTCGATCAGCTTAAAGTTTCTGTCAAGTGCAGCAATGGCAGAGGACAGCGGCAACACGGTAGCGAAGCACGTGGGCATCCTGACGGACGGCTTCCAGTCGTCGCCCCTCGCCGTCATCGCCAACATCGCCACCTTCTGCTCGGTCATCGTGTACCTCTCCCCCGTCAACGAAATGTACAACATATGCGTCAGGGGATACGCCGGCACCACTCGCTGCACCCCCTACGCCCTCATGTTCGCATCCGCCGCACTCTGGACAACCTACGGGCTCCTCAGGCACGATGTGGGCATCCTCAGGATCAATGGCGTCGGTAAGTCAGTGAGGGAGGGAGTGACACAGACCGCACCGGACCGACACACACGGGGCAGTCAGTCAGCCAGGGGGGAGAGATGCGCGTCAGGTCATTCAGTGTTGGTGTATGGTGTGTGTCAGGTGCGCTGACAAGTTTGGTGTTCTGCGGGATTCTGGGTGTGTTTGCCAACCCTGAGGAACGCAAGAAGACCTGGCTGCTCTACCTGGGAGGTAAGTAGGGCACACAGGCAGCCAGCCAGGCGTCGCTGTCACGTACGTCACGTACGTACCTTTGTGACATTGGTTGTGTTGTGTTGTATTTTGCTGCTTGCCTGCCGCTGGCGTGGCAGTGTGTGCGAGTGTGTTTGGGTTTCTGTATTGTTCGCTGACCTACGTCCCGGCGGGGGACGTGCAGCTCAACCTCGTGGGATACACTGCCACGGTGAGCCGCCTGCCTCCCTGCCAAAATAATCAAACATCCCGTCTGCGCTGCTGTGTGTGTGCCTCGTCAGGTGCTTTCTGTCTCTATCTCGCTATCTCCTCTTGTCATGGTGGTAAGTAAGGCAGCACATCGGCTGGCTGCACGTGGGCTGCATTGTCATCTGTGTGTGCACGTGTGTGTGTGTGTGTGTGTGTGTGGTGTCAGGCGCGTGTGTTGCGTACCAAGAACCTGGAGGGCGTGCCCATCACCCTCATCGCCTGCTGCTTCCTATCCGCGTAAGACAAAATACGTACCTGCCTGTCAGTCAAGCAATGAATGGATGGATGTGATGTGTTGTGGTGTGTGCCTGCAGGCTGTTGTGGGGTCAGTACTCTCTGATGATAGACTCGATCCCCTTCCTGATACCCAACATACTGAGCATCGTCCTAAACGGACTCCAGCTCGTACTCATCGCCTACACCTACCTCACTGCCAGAAAAGCTCGAAGCGTAAGGCCGACCAGCCAACCACCGACGCACCGTCCACCTCGCACTGCATTATGTATGTCAATGTGTGTGTGTGTGTGTGTGTGTGTCAGGCTGTGAGTGGTCCTGAGCGGCTGCCGCTTCTGAGCCAGACGGGCATCGTAGACCTACCCATAGGTATCTACAATCTAGCTAGCTGCACACACGCATTGCATTCACATTCCTTCCCACCCACTCTCATCTGATCTCTGGTTCGGTCTTCTCTCTCGATGCAGATGAGGTCAAAGCGTCCTACAGGCCGACCCAGCCGCAGCCATCCGCCTCGCCCGAAGTCATCGGCCCCCACCATCGGCCGCCGATCGACCCACCAGACCAGCCAGAGACCATCGACCAGCACATTCACAACCACACTCACCACACGCAAGCCAGCGGCAGCAGCAGCAGCAGCGGAGCATCGAGCTTCGAGTGTGTGGATCTGGCGACCGGTTCGTCGGCAAGCGACCGGAATTCTTTGTCTTCTTCTGAGGGCGGCGGTGCTGGTGCGTCCCCGTCGTCGGCCAACCGGATGGAGCAGGGCCGGAGGGCCAACAGGGCGCGAGATCGGGCTGGGGAGAGGGATCGGGGGAGGGCCGGTGTGGGTGGGGGTGAGATGGAAATGAGCACTGTCAGGGGGAGGGAACTCAGGTGAGAGAGGAGAGGTGTGCCGCATGCGTAAGTGTCGGATGGGGATTGTTTTGTCGGCCTTGGGGGTGGGGGGCGTGGTGCTCTTATCTTTCTCAACCATCGCTGGGCGGGCAACGTCGGACTCTCTCTCTCTCTCTCTCTCGGTCTTTCGTATGTATGTATGTCTGGATGGCTGTCCGTCTGTCTGTCTGTATGTGTGTACCCCACTGCTCTGCTTTTCTAGTAAGCGTAGCAGAGGATGCGATGCCATTGATTGGGTGGAAGAGAAGGAAGCAATGAAGGAAGAATTGCAGGCAGACAGCGAGGCAGCCAGCTGTCCACTCACTCACTCACTCAGTCACTCACTATGTGTGTGCGAGGCAAGATGTACCCCTGTGTTCCCACGAACTGCGGGAGTAAACTTTCTTTTTTCGCATCGATGACTGACTGACTGCATTCACTCACTCTCACTTTTGTCTCCTGCATCCCTCGGACCTCATTGGTGGATTTTCTTCCTCGCTCATGGACGGGCCGTGGTCCATCTGCACAATGGCTGGATGACGGAACGTCCTAGGTTGCTGGGGAAAGTCCGCCAGGCCAGGGAGGTCCGGACCAGATGGAACAAACAACACGGACGAAGACAGCCACAGGTCTTTCTATCTATCTGAGAAAGGAGACAGACAAGGAAGGAAGAGAGGACGTCGGTCGGTTGTGCTGTATGTATCTGTCTGTTGATTGCTCTGTGGCTGTGGGGTGGGGTGGGTTGGGTTGGTGCCTGCACCCAACTCTCCGTCGCTTGCTGGATGCGATGTCGTCGATGGTAAGCTCCCGCTGTGCCCGTCACGAGGGCAGTGCAGGTGCCGATCCTCGTCGACAAGTGAATCCACAGACAGCGGCAGGAGGGTGAGGTGACATGAGAGAGCGGCCCACCCCCCACCCCCCCCAATACGTTGACTGCCTTACAGCTGGTGGCTGCAGCGAGAGAGAGTGTGTATGTGATACGCTCCACTACTTCCCCCTAACTCCCTCCCTCCCTCCCTCCCTCCCCTGGCCTGAAAGAACCCGCGAGGCAGGTGTGTGCGACTTTTGTGCTGTTGGTCGGTCGGTCCTTTTTTCTACAGCGGCACACCACGCCATCCATCCACGGGACGCACCGATGCATCCGTCTACCTACCCGCCCCTCCCACTGACTGCCATGTCTAAAGGTGTGCATGTGGTGTGTGTGCGCGTGGGCGTGGTGTGTGTCATGCATGTGTGGCTGGCGGTTTTTGTCAGTCCATCTGGTGGGTGTGCGGTCCCGCTCCCTGGTCTTGGTTCGTGTCGGTCGGTCGGTCAATTCATTGAGTCTGCTGGGTGGCTGTGGCTGTGGCTGACTGCATGGGTGGTGGGTGGTGCTGCAGAGAGGGCGAGAGAGAGAGCAGGGTACGTCAGTCAGGTGTAAGTGTAAGTAGAGGTGACGATGACATACATATGAGTGACTGATGGATGACTGACAGTGACCGACTGATTATGATTACTGAGTATTGGAGTGTCACTTTCCTCCCTCTCTGGCAGTGCGGACTCACTCGCGCACTGACTGATTGCCGGGTGAGTGCAGCGGGTGGGATGGAATACAGCGGACGGCACTCTTCTTCTCTCGTATATATGTGTGTGTGCCGCATGTCTACTGGGTTTGTGTCGCACCCGAAGATGATATATCGGTTCGGTCAGACCCACAGCTCGATATGATGCGAACCTTGCTCCACACGCACGCTTGTGTAGGTGTGGACGAGGGGGCTGAGCTGATCGGGCAGAGGCCGCCCACCCTGCCTGCACTCACAGACGGATGGATGGATGAAACGCCTGACCCACCCCCACCTAACTGACAGACCTTACTTACACTTTCTCTCTTTCCTTACTCATGCGAGTTACAACACTCACTCATCGACCCGGTGCACTGCGCACACGTGGAGCCGATTGTTGATCGCTCCGCTCACGGCAATATAATATGGTCGGGTGATCGATGTCTATCTATGGCATGCATCCGAACAGAAAACGGTCCGTCCGTCCATCCCATCCGTCTGCATCTGAACAGTAAGTACATAGTCTCCCCTCCTTCCCTCCCTCCCTCCCTCTGTGTCTACAGGCGTCTGGTGTGTCGTGTCACTCCATCAAGTCAGTCTTTCTACCCCATGCTGCCGCCGGCCTTCCTCTTGAGATCCTTGAGGGCGTCCCAGTTCTCATCCACCCACACACCCGTCTCTATCAGCGCCTCGTGCAATCGCTGCACACACACACATACACATACAGCCAGCCCGCCGAAGACAGAGAACAAAACTAACTAGACTGAGGCAGGCGTGTGTGTTTGTGTGCAGCTCATTGTCTCACTCACCTTGAGTTCGTCTGTGAGAGCGCTTTCAGCCGTCTGGAACAGCTGGAGGGCTGCGTCCAAATCATCGGGGTTGGCTGCACACCACACCACACCACACCACACCACCACATGCTCGTCCCCCCCCCCCATCCATCCACCTATCCCACCTACCGGCTTCCAGTGCGGCGTCTCGTTTCTTGACGGCCTCCTCCCACAACGGATGACCCATCGCCTGCACACAATAGATACAAATACACATCACATCCACACACACCAACAATGGCCGGCCGTGTTGGGCGATCCGATCCCAATGGCTCTGCTCTGCATGCCCTGCCCACCTCTTTGACAACCCCACTGCTGGAGCGACTCTGCGCAGTGCAGACGGCACACATACAAACCAAATATACACGCAAAAGGGAGCGGCATGGCTGGCTGGCTGGCAGGCAGGCAGCGCCCGTTGTGTGTGGTTGTGTTGTGTCACACACATACATTGTACAGCCGCCTGAGTGCCTGCAGCATCGGGTGGTCCTTGGCTCTGTTGATGGTCTCGAGAGTGTTGTCGGGCCCCGACCCCACACCGCCCCTCCCGCCATACCCGTAAGCATCCATCGGCTGACATGACCACCATCACACGAGCACAAACACAAACACTCGAGTGAGTCAGTTTGAGATGAGCTTGTCTGCTCTGCTCTGTGTGTGGCTGGGTGTGTGTGCGCAGGTACGTACCATCATGACCGGTGGCGGCAGGCCCATTTGTTCGCGCAGTATCCCGCACCGCCGCTCGCTGTAGACCATGAAGAGGGGGTGCATCCAAGTGTCCACACAGCTGCCGTACATGGCCCTCTGCTCATCAGCCATACTGAATGACATGACACACACACACACGTGTGTGTGTGGTGGCACAGACAGACAGAACAGACACAAAAGCACTCGTGTTGTGTGTTGTGTGCATCCCATACGGCCGTGCCATGCATCGAATCGACGGAGGTGCTGTGCTGTTTTGGGTGTCGTGTTGTCGTGTGGTCGTGTGGTGGTCCCTCACTTACGCTTTGACGGTGGGTCCGACTTTCATGAGGAACTGTTCGAGGACGGCCTTGCACCAGTCGGTGTGGATCTTGATCTGGGCCTCGTCAGCCGGGTAGCCCTGCTGGGTCATCTGACATGCATGACACCCACACACACATACATGGCTGGCCACAGATGAGATGAGATGTGTGGGCGAATGAAGCGGACAGACAGACAGACGGAAGAGCCCCCGCCAGCACAGCACAGCACGGGAGCACTAACAAGCAGCCGGCTCACTCACCTCACCCACCTTTGGCTGCTGAGTGAGGATCTCGTGAACCGTGAAGAAGAGGATGTCCCTCAGCACAGGATTGGCCTTGGCGATGAATGCCTGCGCCAACTCCGCACACAGGGCGTCGGGGAACTGCGAATAGATCTGACGAAACCGCTGTGCCAGGTCTGACAGACCACGGAGGGTAGCATAGATAGCATCCAACCATTGCAATGCAGGCAGGCATGATGAGCGAGCGACTGCCGGTCGGGTCTTCTTGTCGTCTGTCTTGTGCTGTGTGTGCTGACTGACGGTCGGGGTTGTATGCGTTGATGTCGGCATTCGCAGCGTACGCCTCTGATTGCACACAATCATACCAACCAACCAACCAACCAAGCAAGCGGCCACAGAGCACCCATGCCATGTGCTGACTGTATCCATGTATGAGTGCCTCCCCTGTTGCTGGCAGATCAGTCAGTCGCCTTACCGAGTTCCTGTCTGAGGTTGAGTGCTTGGGTCGGTGGCAGCGGCGGGAACGCTGGCGCCGCTGGCCTCGCCGGATGCATTTGCTTCTCTTCTCTTCACCAGCAGCGGTTTCATGGAGCACCCTAGGCGGCCCCTCGAGCTTGCATGGATGCGGAAAGGAATGACCGAGAGCGGGGAACAGCAGCAGCACAGCACATTGGTGCGCTTCGGCTGGAAGATTTTGAACTTTTGTGATGCCCATTTCCTTCCATTGGGTGAGGCAGGCCATCACTTCATCCCTCGAAAAGGACAGAATGTGGCACACCGCTGTGTTCGTTTGTTCAGGCCTCGTGGTCTTTGTTGTCTTTGGAGCACTGGTAAGGAACCGCAACAAACGGGTGGACACGGATCTCATGCATGGTGTTTGTGTCTGCTGTTCACTTCAGGTTCCTCTGCCCGGCAAATGGCTGTCTGGCGTCGACAGCCCAGTTCCCAAGGGGCTGGTCTCACAGCTATGTGTGTGCATCATCTTCCTCTTATCCGGCCTGAAGCTGCAATTTTCTGAGGTGAAAGAGGGCCTTCGTTGCTGGCGTGGGGCGGTGTACGGCACTCTGTCGATTTTGCTGCTGACGCCCCTGGCTGGCTTCGGGCTGGTGTTTGTGCCGCTGGAGCCGCCCGACTTATCGCTCGGCCTGGCGCTGTTTGCTCTGATGCCGATGACACTCACGAGTGGCGTGATACTGACCAAACAGGCGGAGGGCAACACGCCGCTGGCACTCCTCTTCACCGTCGCCACCAACTTCATCGCTATCTTCACTCTACCAGCTACGGTGCCGCTGCTCGTCGACACACTACAGCAGCAGGGGCAGCATGGTTCGAGCAAGAAAGACATCAACGTCTCCATCAACGGCACACAGATGCTGCTCAACCTGACCTATTCCATCCTTATTCCCTTGATCGTGGGCAAGCTGCTGTCGCTGTGGCGGCCGGTCTCGGCGTTTGCGAATGGTCACAGTCGTCTGATGAAGCATGCGTCGGCCTTCTTCCTTATCGTCATTGTGTGGATGAGCGTGTCGAAGGCCGTCGAGCAGGTCAGACCAGCCGCACAAGTCAGGCAGGACACTCGAGGTGGTCATCCAGTCGGTCAAGTCATCCGCCTTGCTCTGCTCTCGTGTATCGTTGTCGGTGTGTGCCTGTCTATCAGATATCGACGCTTCATGTGGAGATGGTGGTTGCCACAGCTGCGTTGGGTGTGGGGCTGCACCTGGCTTACCTCGCACTAAACGCATCATTTTCCATCATACTGCGGCTGCCCACACGTGAGCACACACACACACACACACGCACTCTGCAATGCTCATGTCGCCACTGGGTGCCTTTGTCTGCTGTGATTGTCTGTGTGCAGCGATAATGAAGGCCGTGGTGGTGTGCGCGTCTCAGAAGACACTGCCCGTGTGTGTGACGGTCATTGAGTTCCTGCCAACCGAGCTGGGCAGCCGCGGCATTATGGTCATCGGGGCGATCCTCGGCCACTTCACACAAATACTCATCGACGCCTTCCTAGCCTCATGGTGGGCACAGCGGGGCCGCCGATTGAGCAATAGCGAGGAGAAAGATCTCACAGGTGCGTATTCCACACACGCAACACCAGCACTCGTGCCGCCTTAGTGGCCAAGGGCCTCGCTGCCTCTTTGTATAGCCCATCTGTCTGTTTCTGTGTGTCAGGTGTCAGCGACAGTGTGGGAACCGACCATCCTGCCTTGAGGGCAGGAGACCTGACCGATGGGACGACTGACTATCGTCGGATGGCGAGGGAGGACGCCCCCGGGCAGAAGACGCAATTGGACGTCACTGCGAATACTGTGTGATGAATGTAATGTCTGTCTGCATCGTTGAGTGAGTGAGTGTATGGTTTGTGTGAGTGGGTGTGGTGTTTTTTCTTGATGTATGTTGATAGATACGCACCTCACTCACGTCCATCCACATGGATGTCAATTGTCTATACGTACGGTGCAGCCAGGTGATGGGATATATGTGATGGATGACACCCACTCCACTTTTGTGAGTATTTCTGTTTGCCACAGGCCCGCTGCATGAATTGCATGCGTGCGTGCGTGTGTGTAGGTCACCTGCCTTTATCAGTGCGTGGCCGGCGACCTTTCGTCCACCGGAATACAAGTGGCCGGCCATTCATTGTGCATGGGTGACATGACGCCCGAACAGGACGTCGATATATTGCCTGCCGGTTTCGCGTACGTACGTACGTGTGTGGACAGAGGCATATATATTCACATCACCTCACAACACACACGGCCTCTCGCGTCAGAGAGAGATGACTCCAGTGTACACAGAGATAGATACTACAAAAAACGCCCTCGAAAGCTCACACACATCCACACACACACACGCACACACACACGCGCGTACCCGCCCAGCACTAGACGACATTCGATTTGTGCCCGGCCTCGCGATTGGCTGAGCTGTCTTCGCACCCACTCACGTCCCCCGGTGGCCCGACGGCATCCGCCGTCGCATCAGCCACTTTGCCATCGGTGGCGTCGTGTGGTGCCTTGGGCTCTGAAGACATACACAGCACCCCATCACTTGCAGGCATACACACGTGGCTCTCTCTTCTATCAACTTTATCATACCTGCCGCGTATGTCTCCCTCCGTTGCCTCTGTGTCCGCTGTGCCCACCATGAGGCTAGGAAGGCGTCGATGAGTATTTGTGTGAAGTGGCCGAGGATCGCCCCGATGACCATAATGCCGCGGCTGCCCAGCTCGGTTGGCAGGAACTCAATGACCGTCACACACACGGGCAGTGTCTTCTGAGACGCGCACACCACCACGGCCTTCATTATCGCTGCATGCAGCGAGACACAAGACACGAGACGTGTGTGGGTCAGTCAGCTTCCACATCTGGTCTTCTTACGTGGCGGCAGGCGAAGGAGGAGCGAGGACAGTGCATTGAGGACGAGAAAGACGATATGCATGGCTATGGCCACCGCCGCTGCTGCCAGCACCATCTCAGGGTCCAACTTGGCTATCTGAGACAGATACAAACAAAGCCGTCCGGACAGATGTGCCGGTGAAGGAAGGCATGCATGTCTCACTCACTCACTCACGAACCTTGGCCACAGACCCGCTGACTTTCATCCACACGATCAAGATGATGCACTGCGCCGGCACATGCTTCATCAGCCGCTTGTGAGAGTTCGCAAACTTGAGAACAGGTGGCCAGAAGGACAAAACTTTGCCCACGACCAGAGGGATAAGGATGGAATAGGTCAGCGACAGCAGCATCCCCGCCCCATCAATAGACACATCCACACCCTCATCACTCTCCTGTTGCCCGCCCTCTTGTGCGGCGTCGACGAGCAGCGGCACCGTAGCTGGTAGAGTGAAGATAGCGATGAAGTTGGTGGCGACGGTGAAGAGGAGTGCCAGCGGTGTGTTGCCCTCCGCCTGTTTGGTCAGTATCACGCCACTCGTGAGTGTCATCGGCATCAGAGCAAACAGCGCCAGGCCGAGCGATAAGTCGGGCGGCTCCAGCGGCACAAACACCAGCCCGAAGCCAGCCAGGGGCGTCAGCAACAAAATCGACAAAGTGCCGTACACCGCCCCACGCCAGCAGCTGAGGCCCTCCTTCACCTCTGCAAACTGCAGCTTGATACCCGAGAGCACGAACACGATGCACACACACAGCTGCCCCATCAGACCCTCCGGAAGGGGGCCGTCGATGCCGGCCACCCATTTGCCAGGGACTGGCACCTGATTGTGAACAGAAGGAGTGATGCCGGTGCGCTCTTTGCCTGCATGTCGATGCTGCGTACCAGGGCACCGAAAATCACGAAGACCACGAGCCCTGAACAAACGAACACAGCGGTGTGCCACAGTCCACACATTCCCGAGGGATGAAGGTGATGGCCTGCCTCACCCAATGGAAGGTAGTGTGTGTCGCAGAACTTGAGCAGGGCCGACCATCGCTTTGCCCAGGGGCCGTCTTCTTTCACTCCTGTCCCTTCTTTCTCTTGGTTTGCCATCGATTCGGATTGAAGGGATTTTCTGCTCGAGCTTGCACGATGGGGCTGGCCGCCCGTCTCGCATTGCCGTCTCGATTCCCGCTTCCAGCCCCCTTCTGCTGGTGGTGAGGGTATGGCCACGGACAGCCGCTATCGTGGTCGTTTCCCCTTCCCCCAGGCTGCAGTCGGTCTTGCCAGCCGTCTCTGCTCTGCGGGCATTCAGCGGTCCAAGGAAATTGCCGAAGGGAGCCAGGACGTTACCCAAGAGACTACCATCAGCCACACCACTGCCGAGGCCAGCCCGGTCGAAAACGCAACGATTTTGACAGATTTTCGTACCGCCAAGATGCAGCCCCGCGGCTGCACCACGCCGTCTGAGGATCTCAATTTCGTTGAGAGTGTGATTCGGATGGAGGTCAGTGCTGACCTCGCATACACACAAGGAGAAGGACAGGAAACGCAGAGATGTTTGCTGTCATTGCAAACAATCGCAGTGTCTCATCGAGGATCGGTACGACGCCATCACCGACGAGCTGCAAGAGGACGAGGACCTCGACGAAAGCAGCCCGGGGCCGCTCAAGAAGGCGGAGATACCCACCAAGGACGAGGATTCAGCTGGCACTGAGCCGCCCAAGACGTTGAACAGGGAGCACAAAGACGAGAAGACCAAACGAGAAGTGGAGAGGGAGCGGGCGGAGGTGGAGAGGGAGGAGGTACTTCAGGCGATGGAAGCCGATGGTACAATCGCATACTTCAAGCAATTGACTTCTGGAGACCGTCGGTTCATCCATAAGGTACGCTTTTGAGTCTTTCATGTCGGCTGGATGCACTCATTCATGGGAAACGCAGTTGGTTCCTTCATAAGGTGGTCAAAGGGGAGGGGGGCTGGACGCCACAACGGAGTGACTGGGCCGGTTTGGTCGACGAGCTGGACCTAGTCACATGGCAGAAGAGGGCCCCGAAGAGCAAGAGGGCCCCTCGATTGATTCGCACTCTCAAGGGTGTCGTGGAGCGAGTGGTAAGAAGGCAACTGATTGTGCGTGCCGGCAAAGACTTAAATGGATGCGAGATTGTGCTGTGTGTCGTGCAGGCTGGTGGGAAGACGAGGAGAAAGGGACAATGAGCTGGAACACTCACTCCTTTGCCCCTTGGAAATCTGCAGTACAAGCGACTTGCGCTCCAAAGCTGGCCCTGTCCCCGCAAGGCTGGCATGTCTGCCCGTAGGGCCAGCCCTACAACCACAGGGCCAGCCCTACAACCACAGGGCCAGCCCTACAACCGCAGGGCTAGCCCTACAACGGCAGGGCCAGCCCTGCAGATGGAATGCTAGCCCTGCAGCCGTAGGGCTGGCCCTGCAGCCACAGGGCCAGCCCTGCAGTCGCAGGGCTAGCCCTACAATCACAGGGCTAGCCCTACAACCACAGGGCTAGCCCTGCAGCCACAGGGCTGGCCTCTGCGGGACGACTTAAGTGCTTCTGGAGGGTTTTGACTCACTGCAAGGCTATCCCTGTGTCTGCAGGGCTGGCCCTGTGGCTGCAGGGCCGGCCCTGTGGCTGCAGGGCCAGCCCTACGGCTGCAGGGCTAGCCTTCCATCTGCAGGGCTAGCCCTGTGGTTGTAGGGCTGGACATCCACCTGCAGGGTGGGCCCCACGGCATACATACTAGCCTTCCGGCCACAGGGCCAGCTTTGGAGCGCAAGTCGCGCCTATTGTGTGTGCGTGAGATGACGTGAGCTGAGCACAAGACGGTTTGTTTGTGTATGTGTATGTGGACGGGACACGAAGACACAACAGTGGGAGACTCGACTCGTCAATATATATGCGAGAGAGGAGAGACGGTGAGGTCAGGTGAGGTTGAATACACATGCCATGCACGCACGGAATGACGACAACATGTCAGTCATTGTCATCCGACGGATCCGCACAGAGTGAGTGTCGCCTCACTCACTGCGTCGAGAAACATCCACGGAAGTGCCCTGCCCCCTCCTATCCGCCCCGCCCGCTGTACAACCGTTAGCCACCGACAGAAAAATCTGGATAAAGGAAGGAACCCCCAGTCACTCATTCAGCACACAGGATACATGACCTCGACATCAGTCGTCGTCATCTTCACCCTGCTCCCCCGCCTCGTCCCTGCCGCCCTCCCCCTCCCCCTCCCCCGCGTCAGCTTGTGCAGCTGCAGCTGCACCGGCATCCGCTCCATCCGCTCCCGCGTCAGCCTGTTTCTTCTGCAGCTTCTCCAGGATCTTGTCTGCACTGTTGAAGATGCCGTTGGTCGGCCGCTGACACACAGCACACCTGAGTGAGACAGGCAAAGCACCAAGGCAGGACAGGACAGGTCAGGTCGGCTGCCGTGAGCAGCAAGGGAGGCCCCGTCGGTGCGCGTGGGCGTCTTACTTGCTGCTCTTCGAGTAGTGCTCGAATGCACATTTCTCGCAGAAGTAGTGCTTGCACCTGAGCGACCGACCAACGACACAAACACAACAGAAGATGCGCAAGGCAAGGCAAGGTCGTCGTCGACTCTCTCTGGTCTGTCTGTCTGTCCATCCACTTATTCCCACTCCCCCCACTCACAGTGTGACGACCGGTCTTGACTCAAGTGACCACGGTGTGCGACAGAGCAGGCACGCGAATGGCAGCCCCTCGTCGTCGTCATCGTCGTCGTCATCGTCAGAATCGTCGTCGTCCTCATCGACTGCACACACAGAGGTAGGTAGGTACTTATTGGCCATGGTGCACAGCACAAATGCTGGTGTGTGGCTCGCTCACGTACGTGTGATTTTGTCTCCCCTAATCAGCTTCTGGAGCTTCTCCTGCTTTTTCTTCTGCTGCTCGTCCCACTCCCTGACCGAAGCGACCAAACAACAGCACAGCACAGCACAGCACAGCACACATATGGTGTCGGGTCGGAGTGGATGTGATGGTGTATGTATGTACCGATGCTCCCCTCCCATGCTCACTCACTTTTCGAGCTGCCAGCCGCTCTTGTAGTCACCACGGTCGTGGATGAACTTGCAGGTATCTGACAGACAGACAGACAGACAGACAGACAGCAGAGGGGTGCGGTGCATTCGTGTCTGTTCCGGCTGGCTGCACATGTGACTGACATACGCACTCACGTACCTCCAAAACCGCAGTAGCCCGTCTCTTTGTAGTCCTTGCAGATGTCCGGCTGGTAGTCGAACCGGGCTGAGATGCGAATGTGGGCTTGAGACCGAACCGGCCCCATCAGGCCAGTGTATTTGCCGGCTCTGATGGCGCCCTCGCTTTGGTTGGCGATGGGTTTGTAGGCGTGAAGGCCTCGGTAGACGTTCTCCTCCAGGCTGCCTTTCTTGAGCTCCTGGCCGATCTGATAGTTGCGCTCGAGGATGGCCCGGTGGTCGCGGTCTCTCTCGGTGTCGATCTCAGACACAGCAAAGGCCTTCTGGTCTTGGTGCAGATTCTGACACACAGACACCAAGCACACGCATACACAGGCCGGTTGAGGGTGGGTGGTGAGGCTACATACGATGTCTGTGTAACAGTTACCAGTTCTCGTGTTGTCTTGTATCCTCCAACCACGATGTCATCCTCAATCCACGCCTTCTTGTTGCTGTCCTTCGTCGTCTTCGACACCACACACACACACACACAGAGGGTGCGCATATAGCGGTACGAGGTTTGATCATGCATCTGCTTACTTACCGCTGACACTGTGCTCTTCTTGGCCGCCTTGGAAGCCCTCTCGAGCTCGGCGCGCTCCTCATCTCCCTCGCCATCATGCTCATCTTCCTCCTCAACAGCTCTCTTCTTGAAATTCGCTTTTCCTCTCTTGGCAAACATCGAAGACACCTCAACACACCTGATCCTGTGCGATGTTTGCGAGTCGATCACATTTGCGAGCTCAAATCTGCAAGCTCAGAGGAGATGGGATGGGGCGGATCTGAGCATATATCCCCCGGCGGACGATGCCCACGGGTGCAGCAGGTGGCGTGACGATGCTGACGAATATCTCTCGGTTCGTGACGTCGCTGCGGCGGCGTGGGGATGGCGATGGAGGTGGAGGTCGGCGCATGAGGCGGCAGAGCGCGCGGATGAGTCTGTCGGACCAGCTGTTTTTGAATCCGTTTGAGAAGTGGCGGCGGCACGGCAAGTTCCCCTGGAAGTTCTTCATCCACTGCCTGCTGGCCATACTCACCGCACTGCAGGTAGGTATCTTGGGGTGGGTGGGTGGGTCACTGAGGCGGGACTGAACGGACACGCAGGAGTGTGGCATCGCGACACAAGCATCGTCTGTGGACTGCATGTGTGGACGGCATGGTTGTCTGTCTGTCTGTAGGTGGTTGTGTTCATCACTCAGGAGACGGGTCACGCCAAGATGACCCTCCGGCATTTTTACACCATCTTCCTGGGAGAAGACGTCACCGGCGCTTTTGGAAGCAGAACGTATGTATGGTTAATGCGACATCACATGTTGCAACACAGACACACACATGCAAGCCAAGCAGACCGACATGCACAGACAGAGGTTCCCTTCCCTTCCTGTGTCCGTCTGTCTGTTTGTGTTAACGACCAGGTTTACGATAAGCAACGAGAAGGACTTCAAGGACACGCTGTACAGCACGATAGAGCACTACTTCCACATCAACAGCCAGTCCATGTCCATCGACAAGTACGCGTACCCCAATGAACACCCCACCGCCATCGTCGAGGTCACCTGGCGAGACGGCGTCACCAACGAATTCCCACTCGACGCCAAATTCCGAAAGGACCACAAGTAAGTAGACAGACAGACAGACGGGGGACAGAAGTGTGTGTGTGTTTAGGTACATGGATATCATCGACCGCGTGCAGGACTTGTATGAGGTGAGGATCCGGCTGGTGGTGCTGGAGCTGTTTAAGGGGCCGCTGTGGACCAGCTGCTTCGAGTGGCACCTCTCGCCAACATTCAACTACCAAATGACCGGACAAATTGAGGTACGTACTTACGTCAGCCACCCCTCAGCTCAATCAACAACATAGACGCGCACACACGCATCTCCTGTCTGTCTGTCTGTCTGTTATCAACAAATCGGTCTGACTGACAGGTGTTATTGGGTTGGAACATCTACGAGTGTTCTGCGGCCGACATGCGTCACCCGGCACCCTACCACAAGCTCAACATTCGGGGCAAGCTCAAGTTCCCATACTCGTTCCTCCACGCAGTCGTCGCGGTGCTCGCCGCCCTCTCCTTCATCCTGGCCTGGAAGGCCATCAGGGACTCGGTGCTCGTGCTCAGGAAGATACGGCAGTCCACAAGATCACCCGCACCACCCAGCACTTACCAGATCACGCCGCTGCGGTCAGCACACACACACATACACACACGCGTCGAACCATGGGCGCACCACTCCATGTCTGTTGCAGTCATGTGAGCCGGCCTGAAGAGGCCGACGACCTGGGTCCCCCAGGCCAAGATGCAGAAGAGGCCTCGCGAGGCGGCCTCCACCACGACTCTACAGAGGACCGGCCACCACCGCCGAACCGGCTGCAGCGGACGGGGGCCAACGCCATGATCGGGGGATCCTTCGCCGACGGGCGTGTGGAGGAGCTGCTCTGCCGGTCCATGAGTGTGCGGTCGATGGACACGGCCTACTTTCTTGACCAGCATGACGTCATCACGTGGGAGCATTTGACGTGGCGCGAGAAGCTCAGTTTCTTCAATTTGTGGTTCTGCATCACCATCGTCGGCAACCTCATCCAGTTTATAGCCACGGTCGGGTCGGACAGCAGTGCTGGGCTTGTGTGGTGGTGCATACATATTGGGTGCGGTGCGGCCATTTGTGTGTGTGTCTGTGCTGCAGATAACGTGTTTTCTCCCTGGCGGCAGTGTGACGGGTCGTTTGGTCTGTCTGGGAGTGGCATGCTTCTTCGGTATGTCAACAGCAGCGCAACCAAGCGTCTTTGTCTGTTAAAGGTCCTTCCAGCCACGTGTCGCTGTATTTGTGTGTGTGTGTGTGTGTGTGTTCAGCGTGGCTGAATTTGCTGCGTTATTTGGAGTACTTCTCCACATATTACCTCCTCATCCGCACACTCCAAATGGGTTAGTGAGTGGGGGACACTCCCCCCACAGAGAGGGCAGAGCAAAGGAGGCATCCCAGCCATTGCATTGCACTGGTCAGGTCATGTACCGCTGTTGTTATACCTCTGTTTGGCATGCAGGTGTTCCTCGTGTGGGTGAGTTTCTGGTTGGCGTCGTGCCGGTGTTCTTCGGCTTTGCCGTCATGGGCGTCTGCCTCTTCTGGCCCACAGACAACTTCTCCACCCTCACACAAGTAAACACACACACACATGGAAGTGAGAGGCTCCATCTGTGTGGGGTCGGTTCCGTCCTTCCCTCCCATCAGGCCTCAATGTCACTGTTTGCCGTGTTGAACGGCGACATGATCCACGACACCTTCGCCAATCTGGGCGACATCTCGCCCATCTTCTCCCAGATCTACCTATACTCCTTCCTCTGCCTGTTCATCTACGTCGTACTCAACGTCTTTATCTCCATCATCGAAGACTCGTTCTTCTCGGAGAAGATCAGAGACATGGAGCTCTCAGCCGCACCTGGCGGCACACAGCCGGGGTACGCTTCGATTGGGTCCGTCCACCCACCTGTGATGCTCGAGCCAAGGGGAGGAAACGGGGGGCCTATGGGTGGGGCGCTGGTGGCTGGCGAAGACAACGTGCGCTTCAGGGATAGGCGGCAGGAGGGACCCGACGTGACGCTCACTGCAGGGCCGCACTATCAGCCGTCCGCTCCGCCAGGCAGCCCCTACCCCCGCGGCCCGCCATCACACCCATCCACCGAGACGCCCCGGGCCGAGCGCACCGACGACCGTCGGTCGGCCCCCCTGGTCTACCCGCCCGGCGGGGGCTACTCAGACTCGTCCCTGTCAGCGCCCCTGCTGCAGGAGCGGCAGCAGCAGCGGTCGGGCCGCGTGGTCAACCCGAAGATCGAGGCCCTCATCAAAACGGCTGAGATGGTGCAGGAGCAGGAGGGCCGCGATGGCTCCCCGTCTGCTCGATCCGCTGCCGGGTCGGCGCACGGAGGGCTGGGCAGGGTCATGCCGACCCCTCAATCGGCGCCCCGCAGGCCCCCTCCCTCGCCCGCACAGGCGACTCGGAAAGGCGCTCCTGAAGCGCTGCTCCCCGAGGAGGAGCCCAGAGTCGGAGACGAGAGGAGGGGCATCGCAGCCTCCATGGAGATCATGGGCAGACAACAGGCACAGCAGGCGGCTGCCGCTGGCGGTGGGGCTGGGCAGGGTGAGGGCGGCAGTGGTCAGGTGAGGCGTGGGGTGCAGTACCTGCACACGTTCAGCCAGACGGCCCAGTCGAAGGGGTATGGTCTCCGTCCCGGCGTCAAGATGGACATCGAGGGCTGGAGCGACGCTATGCACGAGCTGCTGGCTGCACTGCCCAGCCTCATCCCGCCAACCAACGCATTCCAATCCTACATGGCCACCGCACTCCTCAGGTACCTGAAAAGCGAGAGGCGAGTGTAAATGGGGCGACCATGGAATGGGGGGAGAGTGAGTGCTTTGTGTGTGTTGTGTGTGGTGTGTGATTGCAGGCAGAAGGTTCGTGACGCGCGTCGAATGTTGGATGAGTTCCTGAAGCAGGCGCCGCTCCACTGATGAATAGATCGGACCGACCGGTGGGGCATGACAGCCGTTAGTCATTTAATTAATGGTGCATGCGGTGCATGTCTGTCTGTGTGTCTGTATGAGTGCAGAAAAGTCGGTTGGCAACACACACAGAGCAACAACAAACAGGGAGGGAGGGAGGGAGGGGTCAGTGAGTGCACATCAACCACATCAATGAATGCCATGCCATACCTCTATATGGTCACATACATTACACGCAGCACAGCACAGCACGGCACGCCACGCCCGTCGACCCGACCCGGCCTGTCCTTATCATTTGTTTGTCTCGCGGTCGCCTACTTATTTGTCGTACATACATACATACCATGCACGCACGGCGTTGTGTTTATCGACCATCACTATCTGTCATCCATCAGCCAGTCAGTCAGTCATGCCATGCTATGCCATGCTCCCTCCTCTCTATCAAATCTTTGATTGATGTGCGCGATGGCCCATCCCATCCATTATGTCGTAGCTCTTTTTATACACTCAGTCAGTCATTGTCACTCCACGAAAGTCCACGAAAGTGCTGGTTCAGTCATTCACTCGGTGCATGGTTGCATGTTTGTGTGTGCGTGTGTGAGTGAGTGTGCATGTGTGGTCTCTTGTTAAATTGCATGGATGCCTGTGGGGGTGGGGTGGGGTGGGTGGGTGATTTAAGCGGCTGCTGTGCGTGATTTAAACAGCAGGCCGTTCGGACGGGAGGAGAATTAGGCCCTGTGCGCGGGCCGTGCCGTGCCGTGTGTACTCGCGAACGAGTCGATGTGAGCCTTGCACCCGTACATGTGAAACCGCCATCCATGTTTTGCTGATCGACAGACAAGGAGGGAAAGGTAGTGAGTGAGTTGTGACGACGAGAGAGAGGAATGCAGCCGAGCTGACTGGCATATGTAGTGACTTTGGATGAAGGCGATGCATGGTGATGTGATGTTCTTTCTTATAGCGCTTGTGTAGTGTACACACACATATACACAGACATTCAATACATTGATGCCATGCCCATCCCATCATACAGACAGACACCCTCGTTTGTCCTGTCCACCCTCACACACATTGACTTGACTGGCATATAAGTATCTTTTTCGCCCATCAAGCTGCCTGCCCCTCGGGAACTGAATTGTCCCTCACTGAATCTGTGACTGAGCGGCCGCAATCCTCTCCTGCAGTGCCTGCAGAAGCCTCGTCAGCTCCCCACGCACCAGTCTGTACAACGGCTCGCTATCCTCTGACTCGCCACCCATCCTGTCACTCGACTTGAAGGCCTCCCATGCGAATGTCCGCCGCTCGCCAGCGGGCACCTCAAGCAACTGACCACACACATCCACATGCAGCGGCTGAAACTGTCCCTGGTGTGTGTGCTTACCTCCCATAGTGTGGTTAGTCGTGTCTTGGGGGTCTTGCTGTGCCTGTCCGCCGCTCCGTCCGCCGCCTGTTCCTCAGCTTCCACTACGTCTATGGGGCTGGCTTGTGATGGTGGTGGTGGAGGTGACGTAAGTCGTGGGATCAGCATGGGTGCTACGGATGCCTCCTCGTACAGGCACTCCTGAACGAGAGGCAGCGTGTCTCATCACTTAGCACGCGGAACAGTGCATGTGTGTGGTTCTGTCAGCGCTCACGAGAAAGGTGCGCTTGAGTCGTTTGTCGAACGTGGCGTCTGTGTGGGCCCGCTCGTCATGGCACCTGCAGTCAGTCAACCAGACAGCGGGGAAAGGTAAGGAAGCCAGCCAAGCCCAGACCTACCTCTTGTGCAGCATCAGTTTGGTCCTTCGGAGGGTGTCCTTCAGCGCCTCACGCTCCTGCATACGCCACACCCTTGTCCAGACGCTCCTCCTGCGTGCCTGCCTGCCGTGACGCACTATCCTACTTACTTGTGTAGTGGATTTCTTGGTCTCTTCCAACGTCCAGTCGCGCTGTGTCTTCTGCGAGTCGCCATACACCTGGTAGGCCTCCTGCACACCTCCAAACATCCTCATACGGGTGAGACAAACAAGCAAACAAAGAGGATATAGGTACCCTTAGGTGTGCTATTTTGCCGTCGGCCTGCTTCCTGAGGGCCTGCAGCATGTGCTCACGCATCGACTTGACGCTCTCATACTGAAGCGATACAGCCCACAATACGTCTGTCTGTCAGAAAGCGATGTTCCTCAGCCACCCACCCTCTGACGGGCGATCTCTCTGATCCTCGCCTGCTTCGCCAACACGAGCCCCTTAATCGCCCGCATATACGCAGCCTGAATGAGACATGGAAGCGCCGCATCTTTGAGATTCTTGTCATGAGGATATTCCCCTCCTACTTGGATCTTGAGTGGGTGCGGTGGGCCATCCGCGTCTTGGTTCTCTTCAACTGATCCGTCCAAGACGGCCCTGATTGAAGGCGGCAAGCCGGGCAACTCGGAAGCGGACGTCAGGAAGCCGCGGAACTCCTCTGACTGGCCCCACTCACCAGGCTGATGGATCCGATCCATCACATCAATCCACAGGTGCGTATGCATTCCGTCAGCAATGTTTGGGCTATTATGATGTGTGTATACCTCTGTCCGCATCGACCGGCCCGACTGCGATGACTGCGCTTCGTCTGCTGCTGGCGGCGGGCTGGCCTTCATCTCACTCTCAACCTGCACATGCACATGCAGCAGCAGCCGCCACGGCCGTGTGCAGTGCCTATATTTCGCTGCCTGACCTGGTTGGCGATGTCCCTGATGGTCATGTGTTGGTCGAGGATCCTCTCGTACATGCCCTCCACGTCGCACTGACACCCGGACAGCCGCTGCATCCCCTCCATCTCTTCCAACACGCTGACTTGCGCACTCCGAAGCTCAGCCAGCCTCGACTTGAAGTCCTCCATCTACACCGACAGATCGACACGGCGATGGGATGCACACAGCAATCAGCCACCCATCCTGGGCCATCCATCCATCCATCCATCCATCAGTTTTCCATACCTGTGCATTGCTCTGCGTGAGCAGCTTCTCGTGCATGGCGCGTGATGTGTCCTCGAAGGACTGGTGTAGCCGAGATGCCGCCATCGCCCTGTGCTCCAACAGCTCGTCAAACTGGAGCAGCACCTGACAATCCATGCAGTGCACCACACGAGGAGTAAGGCGTGCAGTGAGGGCCCTGTTGGTCTGTCTGTCTGTGTAGCTACTGACCTGCTGGGGATCAGAGTTGAGTGGCGCGCCCATCTCCTTCACCTCACTGTAGATGCGATGCAGCACAGCCTCAAACCTCTCCCGGACAGTATCATCATCTATAGCAGGGGCAGCATCTGTGGCCGTCCTTTGCGACTTGGATGCTGCAGACACCATCTGACAAGCAGATCGAGAGAATAGAGTGAGAGAGAGCCACCCGGTGCACGCGTATGTACCTACCTGGACTTCCATCTGCAGCATGTATCGCTTGACCACCTCTGTGAATCTGTGGATGAGCCGCTCGCCCTCCAACACCTTCTGCCGGTAGCGCAGCTCCTCATCACTCCTGGAACAAAGGAAGCAGCATCCATCCATCCATGCACATTCCCCATCGTCCTCGATCTTTACTTCTTCTCGTCTGTCATGCGTCTGTACGCTGCATCGGTCGCCTCCAGCAGCAGCTCCAAATCCTCCACACACACACACAAGAGAATGACACCATGAATGTGAGCATAAGGCGTGACCCCTCGCTCACCTGACGTTTGGCCTCTCGGCTCTGCAGCAGCTCCTCCTCGATAGATCTGGCCAGATGCTGGGCCTCACTCTCCATTGCGGATGATTTCGACCACCGTCTCGCGGTGCGCTTGTCCTCCACACACACACACACAAATCCGAAACCGCCGGCTGGAAAGCTGGCTTGAAAGCTGGCGTCCATCCGGAGAGCTGCCTTTCCGTTTGGAAAGCTGGCCTTCTGCCTGCAAAGCTGGCTTTCCGTAGCGCTGGCTGGCTTTCTGTGTGTCTGGCCAGCTTTCTAGTGGAGGGCCAGCTTGCCGGCCGAAGCACCAGCGCACCAGCTTTTCGCCGCACCTCGTCGGGTAGTGTGCAGAGGTCCTCCAGTGGATCGGACAACCATTCACTTAAGACAGACAGCAGGCTGACTGACGAGTGATCAGATTTAGATGGGGGAGGGGGGTTGCATGGCTGTGGTGCGCGTGGGAGAGAGCTTGTGATAGCGAGTGGGTAGACACACACACCACAGATACATACATCGATGGCTGTTTTATGCTAGTCGAATTGAGACCCATCAATTGCATGTCTGCAAAAGGGTCGTTCACGCACACACCCACACACTTGCAAAGCCACGCCACGAGCACCATGAGAATTACTCTCAGACCAGCACTTCTCATGCAGAGCACTGAGTGGCGGGCAGATTGCCCTCATGGCCAAGCCAAGCAACCGACACACACGCACACACCACACCCATCCAATGAATGACACACATGCACCCACCCAGTCACAAATACACATCAACAACCGAACGGAGGACAGCCTCCTCTCTCCCCCTCGCCATGCCGCCGGCAAAATCTCGTGCAGCTGAGAGGACACACACGCCTCACACACGCCTAGCGTGCCTCGACAGGCAGACAGACCGACAGACCGACAGACCGACAGACCGACAGACCGACAGGCATTCATTCATTCATTCAGACGAAACTGACAAAAAGACACACTAACGAATGAATGACCTATCTATCTATCCTATCTCTCTCTCTTCCGGCCCGGCCCGCCCCACCACCACAGCAATACGATGACTGACTGAGCACACAGACACTTTAGCGGCCACTAGGACGGACACCTTCATTCAGGTAAGAAAGTCGTCACGGGCATTGTCTGTGGCGTTAGCCGACTGGATGACGACCGTCTCTCGCGCAGCGTCGTGACACTTGATATCGAGGCTGGTCTCAAAGCCCGTTTGGCAGATGTTACTGACCAGAACTACGTACAGCCCCGGCTCAGGCACCATGACAGCTCCGTCATGGACCCCGAAGTCGGCGTTCTTCCAGCTCTCCCCGCGCCAGACGGACGGCTCACGGTACATGCCCGTCTCGCAGCCGCGAAAGACGAACACTCCCGTGTTGGCGGCGGTGGACTGGCTGTTGTGGGTGACCGAGAGGAACGTTGGCTTGTCAAACTCAGCGAATAGCATCCGTTGGGACATCGAGACGCCGAGAGAGCAGGAGAGGTGGAAGGCCGACTGGAGACCCTGCACGAAATCAGCCTGGAAGGCGATGTGCCTGCCGCAGATGGCCTGGGGGCCTTCCGGGATCAGATTGGTGACATGCGCCTCGTTCAGGAGGCTTGCTGCACACCCAGCTGCACACACACGGACAGACAGAGACAAAAGGAGTAGACCCAGATGAGATGCTTTCTTGCCGCCATCCATCCAGGCAGGCAGGCAGGCAGGCAGGAAAGCCGGGAGAGGAGACTGTTCCTTTGCTTACGTATGGGCAGGTCACGGGTGCCCGGCTCCAGTCCGATGAACGGGACGGACTCGGCCCCCACACGACTTGTGGTGGGCGGCAGCTGCACAGCCGGCCGCTGTTGAAGTTCAGGCACTGCACACAACACAAATCACACACACCAGAGGAGAGGTGGGTGTATACTATACGGAGCCGAGCTGTCATCTCTGCGTGGCTCACTTACCGGTGAAACTGCATGTGCGTGTGACGGTGCTGCCCTGAATGGTCAGGGCATCCTTCGGCAGCGGTGGGTAGATCATGGCCACCAGCTTATCGCCCGCCCTGACCTCTCCCCTGGAGTCATCGTAACTCAATTGTGATGAGCCTCGGCTGTCGACCTTGATCACATCAGCACGGCACTTCTCGTCCTTGGTCACACCGAAGTTAAGGATCATATCGGTGGTGGAAGGGGTGCCCTCGCCCGAGCTGGTGACGGTCACCTCCACTCCCCTGCCGTCACTCCCGGCGTCGATCCTGAGCAGGATGGTGTCTCGCGAACCATCGTCTCCGTCGCTTGATGCCCCGGTGACCTCCACTTTGGCTTTGGATGGCACTTTGCCGTCAATGACGAGGTAGTCGCTGCCCCGGCCACCCACCGCTTTGACGAGGTCGAGGTCGTCGGCGTCTTCGCTGATAGTCACGGAGATGCAGTCGTTGCCATCCTCGCCATCAGCTGTCAGGCTGCCTTTCCCATCCTCCACAGACAGAACCAGCGCGTTGTCGGCCGACGTGCCTTTGCAATGCCCGTCAGTGGCGCTGCAGGCCACTTCAGCTGCAGGGGCCTTGGTCAGACAGGTTGGCATGTTGTCTGACAGACAAACAGACACGCGGGGCAGACAAACAAACGATGAGACAGACGTGCACACACTTTCTCATTTAAGTGACTGACGTACCGAGCGACGTGACGGCAGCGTATGCGTCCATGAGGCCGTGTCCCGTCTGATAGTCGTGGCCTTCATCGAAGTCTCCTGGGCCCTGCTGGCTCAGGTCGATGTAGTCGTCCAGATCAAGCGCGGTCTCGAACAGGATGTCTCGGATTTCTTTGGGCGTCATGCCTGGCTTCCATTCATTCAGGAGGGCTATGACGGCGGCCACGTGCGGGGCGGCGGCAGATGTACCGAAGAAGTTAGGGGCCACTGATTGCATTCCGACAATGCAATGCAGACAGACGTTGTGGAACGGTAAGGGCTTGGTGGGGCCGCTCTCTGCCTTACCTTTGTTGTCCACCGGTGTGCCAAAGAATGTGGTGTGGGTCCCGTCAGCAGCGGTGATGTCTGGTTTGGCGCGTATGTCCCCGCCCGCCGGCTTCTTGTTGCCTTGTGTGTCGTAGAATATGGGTGTGGGCCCGTGCGATGTCGTTGGCTCCGCAGTGGGATACTGTGAACCGTATCGCGGTGTATCGGCATACTGCATGGGAAACACAACACAAGACCGCCAGGGAAGCCTACGATCGGTCCGCTGTTTCTTTGGCTTACGTAGATGGCCGCTGCAGCGAGGGTATCCTTCATGTTGGGATGGCCCCAGAGGGTGGGTGCGCCGGTGAAGTGTGTGAGTGGGAAGCCCCACGAGTTGGACCAGATCAAGTAGCGCATCATCTCGGGGTCAGGCCCCTCCCACTTGACGATCTTGAGCTTGAACACTGTATCGGCACCCGGCACGCCATCCACGTCGATCCCGCCTCGATTCTCAAAGGCAAACATTTCGTACGCGTCTTTGCCGACGTTCTGGTCGAGCCCGCCTGTCGCCATTTTGGTGTTGAGGAGGTTGTCGGCCATGTCGTACATCAAGATGTCCAGGTCTGAGCGTGAGCCAACTCCTGGAGCATCTGACGCCGAGGCCCATGGCTCCGACCTGATACCAGAGAGAGTGGCCAGATTAGCATCGCACCATACACTTGATGTCGTGGAATGTCTCCTTCCCACTGACCACTGCAAGATGATCTGGAAGTCGTTTCCCACCGGCACCGATATGAGCTGCACACAACGTCCAACGATATACGGTGCAGAGGGGATGGAGCGGTGATTGGGTTGCGTGGATACCTACCTGGTAGTCAGCAACCCTCTCGTCAGACGGGTCGAAATCGTGTGTGACGAGCGAGTTGGTTCGGCCTCCGAAATCCACGACAGTGGGCTTGCCCGAGTCCCTGAAGGGGGCCTGGTAGGCGTTGATCCCATCACTATACACAGACACAACAAACACACGAGGGAGGGCGAGGCGAGGCAAGGTGAGGCAGCAGGAGGGAGGGATGAGACGGACGGACGGAGGGCTGCCCTGCCCTGCCCTAGCTACAGTGCGGTGCGGTGCGGTGCGCTGACTTACTTGCCAGCCGCTGAGATGTACGGTGTGCCCTCCTCGGCAGCTTTCTGGGCTGCCCGACCCACGATGCCATCCTGCGCACACCACACCAGCAACACACTCCGTGTCCGTGTGTGTTGCTTTGCTTTGCTGGCACGTACCTGGAAGAAGGGCTCGCTGCCGTAGCCAATCTAATCAAGGCACGCAGAATCAATCAATGCCACACCGTGTCACGGGTGGGTCGTCTGTTCAGCCACTCCCCACTCTCTTTGTGTCTGTCTTACGTCATCCACGACGATGTCGCACTCTTTGGCTAGACGGAGGATGTTGTTTGCAAAGGAGGCTGCTCCCTTGAATGCAGTGGCGAAGGATAGGTCCGCACCGGGAGCCAGGTCGTATACCAGCTGAGCCATCGCTGAATGAATGAATGAATGATCACATACAGACAGACAGAAACAGACAAAAGTCCCCCCCTCCGCCTCCGTCTGCCCTGACGCCCTGCCCACGCACCTCTGCCCTCGTCGATGCTCTCTGCACACACGCAAACACACACACACACAGACACACACACACACACACAGAGACAGAGAGAGAGAGAGAGCAATGGGTCGAGTCGACACGTTTGGTCCCTCCCTCCCTCCCTTCCTTGGCGTGGCGTATGTTTTGTATTTGCGTGCGTCCGTACCTTGGCCATTGAAGTCATCGAGGATATGGACACCGTCCCTGGGCAAGTCGCCGGTGCTGATGTCGCTGGCCGCAGAGCCAGGAGCGCTCCTCGATGTGTCGAACGAGTCCGAGATGATCCCTATCCTCTGCCTCCGACCCGTCACTCCCAGCGTTGTCCTCACCACATCCACATGGTGCGCCGCATCGGCTTGGCTGGTCGTCTGGCCGGTCGCCACATCATGGCTGCCAAGTAAGTCAAATGCCCCCCGGTGGACGATAAAGCTCCGAGATGCATAGTGGAGCCTCGGCAGCGACGGCAGCTTGTCGATGGCCGACACGGGCAGCCGCCCAGACACCACCTTGTGGAACGCCTCACCGTCTTCCATGCCCACCTGCTGCAGCTCCTCCAGCAGCCGAGGGGCGTCGTCCAGGCTCGTGGCAGCAACATCGACCGTCACCAGGTCAGTTGCGCGGATGGTGGTGAAGCTGCTCACGGCCTCGAGCGGCGCCTGCTGCTCTCCGCCCACCTCATCGCGGCGGCTGCGAGCAGTTGGCTGTTGCCTCTGCCGGCGGGGTCGCTGGACAGTGGCTGGTGCGCGTACGCCCTCGCCTTCAGGCTGTATGCCGATGAGTGACGAGAGCGTCCAGCTGATCTTGGCATCCACTGCAGCCTCCTCTGCACTCACGGTTTCGCCCCTGTACTTGGCCACAGACCTGCCGTCCGCCGGGTGCAGACATAGCAGGGCAACCGAGAGGGCCAAGATGGCAGCTGCTCGCCGCATCCTGCCAATTACCATTTTTCCCTCCTGCTCGCTTTCAACCGTTAACGGCCGGAAAGAGGAAGGAGCGGTTTCACGGAATGTTTTAGAGCAACCTCTGCGAGCTTAGCTCAAAGACTTGGGGAAAGGCTGCCTGTTTTTTTGCCATCTATTGCAGCACAGCTTCAGACTGGCGCAGACCGAGCAGCCGCCAGCTATATCAGCGCAGCAAGCCGGGAGTGGCTGGTGGCATCTAAGGAGAGAGGGAGAGACGGTCATGCCGTGTGGTGACTGACTGGCTTGGCTGCCTGAGGAGCGCACAGCAATGGCTGCCTCGATCAGTCTCGTCGGCGCGGCGGTTTTGCTATCTTTGGGTGCCGCTGCCCTTCCGCCTCTCTCTCGACTTGACCGGCGCCAGCTGCAGGTGGATCCAAGGAACGTCACACTACCAGGTGAGCACCTGCACTGAGACCACAAGACGCACACGTATGCAATAATCCTATTTATCTGTGCCTCCCTGTGTTTATCTGCTGTGTGACTGTGCACTTTGTCTTTGTGTGTTCCCCCCTCCCAAGGCTGCCCGCCGCCGCCTGCCCCGGAGGGCTGGTCGTCCATGTGGAAGTACTGCACCTTCGCCCGCAACCCGGTGTTCCGCAGAGATGTGCCGTTCGACCAGGTCAGGAGTGACCCGTCATCCATCCCCAAGATGCCCGTGGGCGGCGACCAGCTCATTCCACTCGACAGAATGAAGGAGCTCTCCGAGTGCGCCAAGTGCCAGGAGGACGCACCGGCTCTCTCCCGGATCTTCCGCGAGGTGGGCATGGCCAGCGACTACGTCGAGGAGTGGCTCAAGAAGAACGTCTGCCAGGTGCCGGGCGTCCTGTGTGTGGAGATTGACGAGAAGTTCGCCGCCGGCGGAGACAAGCAGGGCTACTTCATCTTCCTCACCGGGCGGGACATCCCCGACGTGCCTGTGCTGCTGGTCCATGGGCCGCGGGACCAGGAGGTGCAGGTGGACGTGACGCGACTCAAGGCGGCCAATGGGATGGGGCGGGGGCGGCGGAGGTACACACCGCTGCCCAAGTCCTTCTATGACCTGCGGGCTGTGATGGGCCTGGTGGTGCAAAGCTTTTCGCTGGCGGGGCGGCTGGATGAGGCCATTGGGAAGGTCCAGTCACTTCGGCTGCTCTACTTCGAAAGGGTGGGCCACACAGATAGATCAGATGAACGAACGCACGCAGAAAGCGACGACAGTGTGTTGACTGACTCCTTCCTTTTCTTTCTCTTTTTCTTCGTTCGTCAGACGAGTCTGATGGGTCCTCTGCCGGCCAACCTGACGACCCTTTCCCACCTGCAAGGCCTGTACCTCATGGAATCCAACTTCAGCGGCCCCCTACCGCCCTCACTGCCTGACCTCAAGAACCTGCAGGTGCTCAAGATCGACAAGACGCGCATCGAGGGGTCGCTTCCATACGACATGGGTCGGCTAAAGAACCTCCGCATCCTCACCGTCACCCACAACCCGCACATGGACGGGCCCGCCCTCCCCCAGTCGCTCACCGAGTGCACCAACCTCACACACATCCGCCTTGATGGGTTTCCTGGAGGCCAGGTGCCGCTGTCCATCGGGTCGCTCAAGAGGCTGCGGCTGCTGTCTGTGCCCCGGTGCAACCTCACGGGTGGTCTGCCGCCGTCTCTGGCCAACATGAGGGCGCTGCGGTACATTGACTTGTCTCAGAATCGGCTGATGGGGAGGGTGCCCGACGAGCTGGGCACCAGAATGGACCAACTCGTTCACATCAACCTACAAAATAACTCGGTCAGTCAGTCAGTAAGAGAGTAGGCATCTTGTCCTTGTCAGGCACACAAATACGCGACGCGGGTCTGTGTGTGGTGTGGGATGCCATCCAATACCATCAATGCAGCTGTCTGGCCCGTTGCCAGCCTCTTTGGGTTCGGCGGCCAACCTCAAGTTCATCTTCCTCAGCCACCAGGCAGACCAGGGCTTCCAGGGCCCCATACCTGAAGCCTGGGGAAACCTGTCAAGACTACGCACACTCGAAGCCAGAAACAACGATGTGCGTGACCTGACCTCATGACACAATTGCATCGCGAGATATCCACCTGGCCTTTCGCTGTGTGTTGCATGGCGTATTGTGTTGTGTCCTTTAGCTGAGCGGTCCGCTGCCAGGCAACCTGTCAGGTATGGCGTCTCTGATGCGGCTGGATATTCGTGAGAATCGGCTGTCGGGCACTCTGGATCCCCTCTCACCACTCAAGTCCCTCATGATCCTACACTTCGATGACAACCAGGTCGGAGACAGACAACACACCCACATAGGCGCACACAAACGTCCACAGAGCGCACGCCGCATGTCGATCCAACCATTCTTCAGTTTGAGGGCGGCATCCCCTCGGCGTTCGCCAACTTTACCGAGCTGCTGGCGCTCTCAGGAGACAAAAACAAGTGAGGCGGCGCAGATGCACAGACACACGCAGGGGCCTGGCACCGGTCGGGAAGATCAAGAGACTCTCCGCCATTGGGGTGTGTTGTGTTGCCGTGCAGGATAAGCAAGATTCCGCTGTACCTGGACAACCTGCGGTCACTCCGTTCGCTGCGTCTGAGGTCCAACAGTCTGAGTGGCGTGCTGCCGTCCCTGGCGCCCCTGAGGAGCTTGGAGGTGCTGCAACTCAATGACAACGACATCGAACGATACCAAGACATCGACGACTTCCCCATCAGGTAGGTCAGTCGGGTCGGGCATTCTCAGTGCCTTCCCTGTGCCCTCTAGGTGAAATGCGTTTGCCTTCCTTGACGTGTGTGTGCAGCTTGAAGGTTCTTGATCTGAGTGGGAATCGGCTCCGCAGCCTGCCGTACAGTTGGCTGGAGCTGCCGCAGCTGAGGAGTTTGCGGGTGGCCCGCAACCAGGTGTCGCGACTGCCGGCATGGGGACATCGGGGCATTTGCAAAGGCACTGATGGGGCCATTGTCGGTGAGTGAGTGCAGTGAGGAGCACGGCGCGCGTGTGTAGAAGTCCCTCTTTTAACCACCACCTGTCCTGTGTGTGTGTGTGTGGTATAGATGTGTCAGCAGCGAATTATCCCGACCTGGAGAGGGTCAGCAGTTTCTGGCCCAACTTGCGTGAGGTGGACATGTCCGACAACCCCCTTGACATGAGCGTCAACGACCTCATGGCCGCATTCAAGACAGCATTCAAGTCAGTACTGAATGCATTGACAGACACCAGACTCGTCCATCATCTTCTATCTACTTGTTCTCCTCTGTCTGTTACCACACATGGTCGCCCAGTCTGGAGGTGCTTGAGGCGTCCAACTGCGGCCTATCCGGGAGGCTGACGTGCGAGGCGCTCTACTACACCACCCACTCGTCCATCGCAACCACGACCCCCTCCCTGCAGTCCGTCATGGGCTATACCAACCTCGCAGTCCTGGACCTGCACGGCAACCTCATCCAGTCCCTCGACACCTTCCCTGCCCGTCTCCTCAGCCTCTACCGGGCCGACTTCCGCAACAACCGTCTCACCACCATCGTCACGCCATCCAACAGCACATCGGTGTCGCAGCGGGCCGTGTCGATTCTGGAGCTGGGTGCGGCGCGGAGCCGCCAGCCGTGGTCCTGGAGTTGGCTGTCGATCGACCAGGTGGACCTGACGGGCAACCCGGAGCTTCGGCTGCCGTCGGTGGAGCGGCTGAACATACAGAGCTGCGAAGAGCTCTACTCGCGAAGAGTCATGATGGAGCGGAGCGGCCAGGTGCGGAAGGCTTCCGTGGTGGCTGACCCTCTTGGCTATGCTCGGCGCCGGCAGCCCAACGGGGCGGCTGTGTTCGAGTGCACGCACCCGTGCTGGAACTTCAACCTCATTCAGGTTGATGACACGGTGAATGAGGCGGCCCTCTGCCGGTGCGAGCGGGGCTACTTCGGGGTGGGGCGAGACTGCGCCAAGTGTCCGGCCAACACGTACTCCAACGCACAAGTGGGGACTGAGCGGTGTCTGCCGTGCTCCAGCGGCCAGGTGTCGGTGGCGGGGTCATCCAAGTGCGTCTGCGACCGGGGATTCACACTCAGCGGCAGTGTGTGCAGCCCGTGTGGCAAAGGTAGGTCAGGGAGGCAGAAATCGAGACAAGACAGAGTGCGCAATGCACTCACACAATGCGATCGCTGTTTTGTTTGTTTAGGTTCATACAAGGAGTTGGTGGGTAGCGGCGAGTGCACCCGCTGCCCCGACGACAAGTTCACGTCGCTGCCCAACAGCACCTCGCTCGACGACTGCTTCTGCCACTCAAACTACATCCGCCACCGCCACCTCACACAGTGCTCAGAGTGCCCCCGCGGCCTCGACTGCGAGGCCCCGATCCGCTTCCATCCCCCGGTGCAGAGCGGCTTCTACCAGCTCATGGTAGACCTGGACCTCACGGCCCTCCACGACAGTAGTGACAGCAGCTGGCGGCAGCTGAGGCGCCGGCAGGGAGGACACTGGAAGGCCACTGGTGCTGGCAATGTGGAGCTGGACAGCCTGGGGGTGCCGCTGGAGCGGGGCGATCAGAAACCGTTCAGGACAATGTCATCGTAAGGCGTGCACTGCACACGACAGACGAGAGAGGGAGGGAGAATTGGGGAGGGAGTGTATCTGGTGCGTGTGTGTGTGTGTGTGTGTGTAGGTACGATGCTGGTGTGACGAGTCTGCCGGTGGTGGTGGAGTGCCCCGTCCGCAAGGCGTGCAAGGGATCAGACCTACACACGGGGCAAAACATATGCATGGTAGGGTAGGAAAGCGCAGGCCAGGCGCAGCCAGCCAGCAATTCACACCCAACTATAGCTAGCATAGGCACACACATGCATGGCATGGCCATGCATCCCATCCCATCCCCCGTGTGTCCGTGCCGTGTCTGCAGACCGGTCAGTCCGGCTTCGTGTGTGGTTCCTGCGATGAGGGCTTTGCCCGCATGAGCAACCTCCGTCCCTGCGGCAAGTGCCCCCCGGCCTGGCAGAACGTCATGACCAACCTCTGCCTCTTCGCCATCACA